GAAAATTTAGCCTACTTTTGGATAGTAAAAATCACCAGATTTAATCTAGCCTACCGTTTGATGCTACTGAAGAAAATTTTAGACGTAATGATATTTATTTAGACTATCTGGATCATACTCAGCATTTGGAAAGGAGAGAAAATTTTTTTATTGATGACTTTCACCCTCCGCAGGAACGCAATTTTTTTTAATGAAAAAAATCATAACTCCATTCAGATTATCGTTTCGCAGATATGAAAGACAGTCTACGAACCAGCATTCAAAAGCGCATTTTTTGGTGTACAAATCATTATGAATGGCTACGGCATCCAAGTATCCTTCCCCTGTAAGACATATTCTGGTAGGGCAGACCTCACCCTACAAAACCTATGAAGTCGCAACATCACACACCCTCAAAGTCCGGATTTATAAGAGTTTAAATGTCAGTTGTCATTAAGCGACCTAAAATTGAGACGATTTTTGAGGTTTTTCAAAATTCTCGTTCTCGGCGACCACTCCTCAAATCCAACTGATTCTTTCACTGTCTGGTAGAACAACACTTACACTTCAAAACCTAAGAAGTCGCAACTGGAGGTCTTCAGCTAGCAGATTTGTAGCAGTGGAATGATTTTTCACGATTTTTCATTATTTTATCATTCGAAATTCTGGTTCTCGGCCGTTACTGCCTGGATCGATCTACTTTCTTCGCTGTACGTTATAACAAAATTTGCTCAGTAAAATCCGTACAATTTCGCTAAGTTTTACTTCCAAATACACCATTTACTGAACACGTTTATTTCAAATATGTATGCCGCCGTATACACAAAAATATGCTTTCAATAATCTTTTTTGCGTTTGTTTTGCTTATTTTCTGCGCACTGGCGACAACGACCTGGAAGGGTAGACTCAGTCGACGTTAACGCTCTCCCCCCCCCCTCTCGTCGACGTTTTTGGGAGGTGAGTGTCCGGCACTACCACCTTCACTTTTGGCCGGCCAGTGGTAGCTGGAACCACCTTCACTTTTGGGGGCCCGACTCCACCTATCGCACCTCTGTTCTATACGCTCTTGGCGTTCCATACAATAGAATAGAAAGCAGTCATTTATACTTTAATCGCAATGATAGTGCATCATTAGTTTAGGTCTAATCTTGATGAAAATGTGATGAAAGCTTGTATTTGACTGCTCTATGATTATAATTATCGGAATTAAATGATGCGATTCATGGAGATGTACCCATGCCCCCTTTTGCCAGCAAAATATTTTGAATTTAACAAGCAAACAAGGTTTGATGGTGGGTATGTTATCTGACCCCACCAAACCAGGTAAACCAGTGTGAGCCAGAGACTCCAAGTGAATTTCAATAAGGTTGTAATGATGTGATGGATAACTCATATGTGAGCGTGATCAAGTTAGGTTATTGTAATCTATGGAGATGGCAATCATGCCAACTCATTTGCCAGCAGAAGATGCTCTTGCAATAATGAAGCAAAGCGGGGCTCGGTTGGTGCAGTAATACCAATCACCTCACCCAAATGATTCCGGGGAGAGTCCAATGACTCCGAAAGATTATCAAATAATTTCACTTTTTGTAATTCATTTAAGAGCAAGTCAACAAGCTCTAATGATTGGGAAGAGAAGTAAAATGATTAGACCTGAACTAACGTAATAGCAAGATATGGGTTAGTAAGACATTTGAAAGAAAATAATATAAAAAAACACAAATTGATGGTTGTATTTGGTATGCATTTTGTGGTCGGATAATGTTATCGAACATGGCCAGCTATAGCAATACAGATGACGAATTGGTGCTATTCACTACTCATTCTCAGAATGCCTCAAACGTAAGAGATCAAGTGTGTTGATTCTGCGTTTAAAAACATCCGTGCTCTGAGATTGTAAAGTATCTAGAATCTTTTAATGAATCTTATTGTGTTAGGCATTGTGCCTTTGAGCGCTAGCCACGAAATAGCTTTGATATCCAATTGAGCAATTGAAGCAGACGCAAGCACCATATTCAGTATAGTGGGAGTCGTTCGACGAAGCGAACATAATATCTGCAACGAGCGTCATACAAGCGCTCGCGGAGGAATTTCGACGAAATATGCGATCTTTACGTTTTGGGCAAAACTTATGAGGACGTGTTTTCGTAGGTCACAGACTGGAGCCTGAGTAAGGCACCATTCGATAGCACAATTCCTAGTAACTTTGACTGAGAGAAGCAAGCAGGCAAGATTTCTGACAGATACGCGAGAAGTGCGGCCAAAGTTACGCACTTTCCTGCTGCAGTTACAGTCACCTCACCGTATCTTTCCAAAAAGACTCTGTGATCCTCAAAGAACACGATTTTCGTAAAGAGCGTGTTCGAAAACCTTTATAAGCGAAGTTCCTCTACAAATTAAGAGCATCAACATTTTGACCAAAATCCATCGGCGAGCTTCCGGAGCGTAAAATGAGAGAAAATGGAATAACCCGAACGTATCGGAAAACTTGCTCGTAGAGGTTATGCGACCTGCTGATTTCGAAACTCACATCTGCTTAGCAAGATAGCTTCGTATCCTGCGGATATGGCGAGTAGAATTTGGGACGACAAGATTTTTCCACAATTCACTCGCCGTTCTACTTTCTTTGAAAAGAAGCCTGCGGCTGCTATCTAGCACATTATAATCTGCAGAAAAAGTGCTATCGAAATATTCTTGCTGGAATGTACTCGGGACAATGCTCGGTGCTTTACACCTTCGTGAAAAGACGTCCTCAGAAAGATTTAAGAATGCTGAAATCGAGATATCAAGGACACGCTGTATATGGGAAGATTCGCCTTGATGAGCTGAGCAAGGCGCTGTTTTCGGATTAAAAATATACTTGTTCCGAAGGAAGTTATGGCGAGTAGAATTTAAAAACGCATGAATTTTCCAAAATTCACCAACGCTTCTATCTCCTTTAAAAAGAAGTCTGAGCCTATTTTGTAGCGCACAATAATCTATAAGAGCAGTATTATCGAATAGTACTTAGTAAAATCTTCTATGCTGGGTAGGCGTTGCTTCACATATTCGCGAAAGGACCTCCGCAGAACAAATTGAAAAAACTGAAAACGGCATATCGAATACATCGTACCCCAACTTCCAATATATCAGAAGATTCTTCGCGCCGAGCTGAATCGAACGGTGGCTTTGGATTCAGAATTCGTCCACTCTGAAGCGAGATATGGCCACGCGACGCTGATGTATGGACATGTGCATACATGTATGGACATGTACGGACATGTACGGACATGTCCATACATGTACGGACATGTCCATACATGTATGGACATGTCCGTACATGTCCGTACATGTCCATACATTCGCGTCTTTTTTTCAAAAAATGTGAGCGGTATTGTACATTTTTCATTTCTAAGTAGGTTGCAAAACACCATTCGATAGAACAAAGCAAGCCCTACAAGATGGCTTTTCTGCTTTAGCAATAGCTCTGATCCACAACGAGTCTTGAGCCAAAAACTAAAAAGATTCAACTGCCCGAAAAATTGAGAAAAATCGAAACTCAGTTCATAAAATAGAAAGTTTTTCCTACAGGAAGTCTAACTTGCTCACGTAAACACATCCACATAAGGCATCTATATACGCCGTTGCCGCATTTTTTTCTCTGTAAGAGATCAAGAAAACGGAAATTTTCGTGCATTTGCCAAAGTGATACTGTGCCATTCCAACATAAGTAATTGTATGCTACAAATCTGTAGAAGTACAAATGTAAATTTCCAGCTTTCTACAAGCTTTAGTTCTCGATGAATTTGAATTTTAGCTTGGACCACATGACTAATGAAAACTTTATTCGACATTTCTCGAGAACTAAAGCTTGTAGAGAGCTGGCAAATTTACGTTTGTACTTCTACAGGTTTGTAGTATGCGAATACTTATGTTGGAACGGCACAGCATTACTTTGGCAAATGCGCGAAAATTTCCGTTTTCTGGATTTCTAACAGAGGAAAAAATACGGCAACGGCGTATATGGATGCCTTATGTGGATGTGTTTACATGAGCAAGTTAGGCTTTCTTTAGGAAGAACTTTCTTTTTTATGAACTGCGTTTCGATTTTTCTCAATTTTTCGGGCAGTTGAATCTTTTTAGTTTTTGGCTCAAAACTCGTCGTGGATCAGAGCTGTTGCTAAAGCAAAATAGCCATCTTGTAGGGCTTGCTTTGCTCTATCTAATGCTGTTTTGAGATCTACTTAGAAACGAGAAGTGTATGACTTATTGCTTGGAATTGGTAATTGTATGACTTATTGTTTGGAATTCAAAACCTGCATTAATTTCCGGACAACCTAATACAAGTCACCTCAAAGATCCATCATTTAGTGATAGTCTTAGGTTCAGAAAATTACTTTGAAAAAGGATAGAGAATCAAAGCAAAAGTAAGCAGATAGATATTTGTAGAAACTATTTTTCGGTTAAAGGGATGATAGGAGAACTGCGAAATTGTTTAATTTTTTAAATTCAAATTAGCAAGTAGAGTATACACCACCAAACGTCAAAAATCTTCGCAATGTCCTGATGGAAAAGTATACACAATATTTGAGTATTTGATATAAAGGACACAAAACTTTGCAACGATACAAGTACTGCACAGTTCTTGCAAAGCATGTTAAAAAGGGAAGTGCACGAAGAAATACAAGACCTATACAGCTGCTTCGAAACAAGCATACAACAAAACGGAACAAAAAGCATTGAGACAAAGTCATGATTATGATCATGATAGTGGTCCAAAGCAGTTTTAGCTGCAAAAGTGAGATGATCAGTTAAAACGAAAAAGCTATTCATAAACATACCGGTGTGCATGCTCATATAATTGTAGCTGCTTGCCTATATAATCTTTAAGCTTGTCAAAGAGCAAGTCATCACTTCCCAATTGGACATCGAACTCGCAGCCACCTATTATACTATCTAAATCGGGAGGTTTCGAAGACTACCAACAGTACTAAGAAATTTACCTAATATCATTTTTGGCACAGAAGGCAGCATTTCGTGACTCAATTCAGTATGTAGTATACTCCTGTCGGCATATCATTCCAATCCTGGTATACCTGCAATAAGCGGTGCCTGGAGCAAACAGCGTTTCAATAATGTTTGAAATGACGCAACACACTTGCGTGAAAAAGTGGGATGCGAATGAGCAAACCACGGTTTTCAAAGAATTCGTTGGTGGAAGCATAAGGTCGACAAACATATTGTATGGTGAGGCGTGAATCGTTGTGGGGTCTGCGTCGTCTTCAAATCCGTACAAAGTAGTCCAGATAGGCTCGGGCTCCTTCGAAAATTTGCACGCATTGATTGCTTTACATACAAGCAGCTGTAATGAACAAATAAACGATATTCCTTGACATAAGAGCAAACCCCTGGGAAGTCGCTGTATTCTGGTCTGCAATCTGGGTCTCCTGCGACTCTCCTGCGATTGATGTATTCTGGCTTATATTGTGGGTTCTGCTTTCTTGCTAATCTCGTGCGCGCTACAGAGATTCGCTTTTTTGTTAACCTAAACTATTATACTTCTAAATGAACGATAACAGAACTCGCAAGAACAGAACAAGAAACTATGCGAAAATTCAAAGGAACCTAATACTGAGCAAAATAAAACAACAGGAAGTTTTGAAAACCGTTACTGAGTAATAGTCGGCGCACGCCCAAAAATCTAAAGCCAATTCTTGCTTATTTGGAACTCCTATGCAGTGATCAAACTGTGGAAATCTTATTTGCATTGCCAAAAAAACAGCACTTCCGCATAAGAATTTCAACGCAGTAATAACTCAGGGGGAGAGCAACGAATTCTCTGAATGAAAAGGCATGGCGTTCGCCAAGCCTGCCAAAAAATTTACGAATTCTTCACGACTTATTAGTGAAACCTTCCAGATTTTTGGAAAAGGGGCGTGGCTGTGGTCACGCCTCTGAGAAAATTTCTTTGCAAGGCCAATTTGTGATTTTAGAATTTTGGAAATTACTTCAACTACTTACAAGTAATAAAAAAGTCATCTTATATATAAAGCTGAATGTCTGTTTGTATGTCTACATGTCTGTACGAATGTTCCAAATTGAAAATTTTATTTCTGGCACACACACACTTCGGGGGGGGGGGGGGGGCGGATGTCGTAGGCTACTTTTCCATATCGATCGATTTAAATTTTATCAATTTTCGATTTTTTGCAAAGTTTGAGCTAAGGGGCTGGGAGTTGACACAGGGAGATACTCGAGATGCTGATTACAAAAATATTAGATTTTGAAATTATCCATTACTTTTATCAATTTTATCGATTTTTTGCAAAGTTCGAGCTAAGGGGCTGGGAGCTGGCACAGGAGGGTAAGTGAGCATGCTCTGATTACTAACACAATGGGAATAGGACTTGGCATATAGAAGTGGGCACGGGAAAGGTTGTACAGGAATAGGGATGGGTCCTTTGTCATAGAGTTTGACTGGGCCGGGCGAAGCCGGGTAAGCCAGCTAGTTTGTGATATGGGAGGGATAAGGGCCTCATTATGTTAGTGTAAGTGCGATTCATGTATGTGATATGTGTTCTTATTCGATTTTCTCATGGGATCATCCATGCAAGAAAAGCCTCACATAGCAATACACAGCCTGAAGGCAGAAATGGGCGCCGCACCCAAGGTTTCCGCTCGGTGGGAGAGGGGGCGACAAAAAAATTTTCACCAAACATTTTTTCGGGCCCATAGGTCCCCGAGAAAATTTTTTACAAGGGTAAATTGGATTTGCAAGTTTCTAAATATTCCAATTAGTCACAAGTAGAAACAATTCAGTTGCACATTTTTATGATATATCATGTAAGAAAATTATTGGAATTTCGCGGCCCATTCTCGGGAGGGGACGTCCACTCCCTCCCGCCCCTCATCCTCAAGAAGAGGTCGCGGAATTTTCAGAAGTTACTTACTGTATTCATATGCTAATGCTAATGTTACCAAACATGATCGCTATAGTAATGTGTCATTACATAGTCGACAGAAATTAACGACCTGCTTTTATGGTGTGTAGACGAAGATATTATGTAGCCAACAGTAAGAGGGAAACAGGACGCGTTAGCCATGCCCCCGAACTGATGTTAGACCAGTGTAAAAGTTCTTGCGCGATTGGATGCAATTCAAGAACATTCAAACCTTATCCCATTCCAGTGACGAATCGAAAAAAATTTCTGGGTGTTCCTTCATTCTAGAGTCACCTTGCTGATTTCGTAAGTCTTAGATTTGCATCAAAAATTCATAGGTCTTGTACTTGGGATGATTTTGAAGCTGTTCTCCATTTCAACAGTGATTCTCTGAGCTCCTGGAGGCAAAGCAATTCCGAGCTGTGACAGTCGTTCGAGGATCACGACGATGACACCTCCTGCTCGGCTTTCTTGGCATCTTTTAGCATCTTCAATGAACTTCTAGTGCAGCGAAGCGAGAAGAGTCTGGATCCACATGCTTACGAGCATGTGGATCCAGACTCTTATGAGCCTCGTCGTATTTCTCCTCTAGCATCGCCAGTTGTGCAGGTGCTGGACGTTGTGTTGGGGTCTTTGTTTAGCTGATCAGAGATGGAATTTATTTGGATCCTGAAATGATCTACAGCGTCACAAAGCAGCTTCTCGTCCTCGATTTCAGCTGACATCTCATTCAATAATTCATCACAGTCCTTCTTTAGTTGTTCTGCGCCAACGTCGATGAATCGACGCTCTCAAGAGGACCGAGAAGTACAGAAAGCTGTTGAAGCTGACGAACTTTATTCTTAGAACTACTTGTCTATTTTCTCTCAGAAATCATTTCGAGTCTTCTTTAACGTCAACGATAGATCTTCTCAGTTTGCCAAGGTTTCTCGAGTTGCTTTAGCAATTTGTTTAATTCAATTTTTGCTTCTTTTCTTAGTCATAAAAATGCATCCCTGTCGTTAGCACGTCCTTGCAAGACTAAAATCGTGTTTTGAGCAAAAGATAGATGTGCTTCGAGGACTTGCACAGAAACATGAGATTTCGGTCATCCTGCAAAAGAGCTATGGCCTTTTTGCATTCATTAGCAAACTTTTGCGCAGTTGGTTTATATCGTGCTCGTTCTCCTTCTACATCTCCCAAAAGCTGATTAGCATCGTCTAAGTTGGGCATCGAGTGAAGATCGGTGTGATATCGGTCAACTGTTGATCCGCTGCTCGTCTTGCAGATCCATCCTCGACTGCTAAAAATACCTTGGCCTCAAATTTGGACTTTACCTCATGAGTCATATTTGATGAATAGAGTAAGGTAAGGTTTTCGGCGAGGGTACATAGGACTGCAAATTGTATTCAGGTGGTAGTCTAGCTAGCAGAGAGTTACGAATATGCGAGAGCAGAAGAGTTAGGCAGATATTTTGCAAGTCTTTTCTCTGTATCACAAAATCTCCGAGGTGATCTGTTAACCGTATCTTCCCCAAGCTTGCAATACCATACATTTTCGGTCAGCTGATGTTTGAAGCTTATCCTGCTGAGAGACCTCAAAATAATTCAAACAAACTTCAAACTGAGCCTTACGATGGTTCCCCCTATTGTCTACAGGAAGTGCGCTGACTCACTTTCGAAACCTCTCTTTGAGCTGTTCAATCTTTCCCTTTAATTATTGTGAAGAACTCAGTTTGTAAAAGTAAGCCATCGTTGTTCCAATCCCCAAAGCTGGATCTGCCTCTACAGTATCTAATTTTCGTCCCCTAAGACTGACGCCCACTCCAATCAAAGTTATGGAAAAATCATCAGAAAGAAAACTGTTTCGTTGGCTAAGAAATTTCTACCCAATTCCTCCTGAGCTTCATGGTTTTTTATCTAATAGGTCAACTACTGCTAATCTGGTTGCAAGTGTTTTTGATTGGAGAAAAGCCCTTAAAGGCAGTAGATCGGCAGAATGAGACCGTGACAAAACAAGGTCACAGGGTAGGAGCCCCCATATGGAACCTATCGGCCAAAGTCCGATTTTTCTCTGCCACTTCTAACACCCGAAATTTCAACATGAGATGGGCGGGGCCAGAGAATACAGGAGATGAGCGCTGCTTCCGCGTTGAAATTTTGGGGGTTAGAATTGGCAGAGAAAGATCGGACTTTGGCCGATAGGTTCCATATGGGGGCTCCTACCCTGTGACCTTGTTTTGTCACGGGTCTCATTCTGTCGATCTACTGCCTTTAATGGTGGATTACCGATGTTGTCTATGTGGATCTTTCGAAAGCATTCGATAAGATTCCCTACCATGTACTATTATCCAAATTACAAAGCTAGAGGGTAGATGGAAATTTACTGAGTTCCGATTATTTTGGTAGATTCATTCAGTCAAAATGGGCAGTCTTTTTCCATTAGATACCAATGTACTAGTGGAGTACCCCAGGTGGGGTACTTTCGCCTCTTCTGTTTCTTATCTTTACTATGGAGCTACCTTCCCTTTTGACTTTGGGTGGAGTGAATGTACAAATTTATGCAGATGACATTGAGCTGTACGTCTATTATAAAGAAGAGGATCATCATGCTATGCATGCTGCACTTCTATCATCCACTGATAGACTGAGCTGGAGGGCAATGCATATTGATCTTTTTCTGAATCCCAGCAAATGCTCGTTTCTGCATTTTGCGAGAATAAGACCTTTCGATTATGAAGTAAATGATTCTGTGTTAAGTGTGTTCATCGGTCAGGGACCTAGGTGTTTTGATCAATTCCCAACTGAAATTTACTGAACACATTGATTATGCCGTGCAAAGAGCCTAGTCTTCGCTGTTTGCTATTTTTCATAACATACATGGGATGAAAACACTCATCAGACTGTATAAACCCTGTGCGCTCCCGCATCTAGAGTACTGCTCCCAAGTATGGATTCCCTCTGGAGAAAGGAGACCGAAAACTTGAAAAGGTTCAGCGAGTGTTTACAAAAATGGTCCTCGATCGCAACTGCGAAGTATATCCAGAAAATCTTATGATTTGATCTTATGTGAGACGCCCTAGCGTGAATTAATATCGCTAATAAATAATGGCTGACTTGCTTTTCTGTTTACGTATTCTGCGAAAAGAGGTTGACTTGAGAGCTAGCAGGTTTTGGATCTTTAGACCTGCCAGTCGTAGGCGTGGCGGCTTTAACCTCATTATCCTAGGTTACAAAGTAGCTCCTATTCCTGTCTTTTCAACTCATTATCTAACGCTGTGCACGCTGGCTCAATTGACTACCTCCCAAACTAATAACTTTCACAAATAGTTGAGCTTTCAAAACAAGTTTGCTAAAGATTGATGTCCCTAGCATTTTGCACTGTGGGCCGTAGCTCTGTTGACACTTTTTTATTCGTTTCAAGTCTGATTTAGGTTTTGTTATAAGAACAGCTTACCAATTGAATTTTGCAAGTCCTTACTCTTGTATACTTTTTTCCATTACTTTAACTTTCACACATCTTTTCTTGAATGTGTTATTTTCTTTTTCAGGTTTTCTTGCGCGGTTCGAATACTCATTCATGGCCTGGTTGAATTATGTCAATCTTATTATGTCAGCTGGTGATTGTGCGATTAGTAGAACTCGCTTCCCAATCGCTTCATGCTCTCTCTTGCCAGCCGTGTGACTTCCGATTTGGTCAGTGCATGGGTTCAACATGTTCTACCTTTTTTCCCTGCTTTGCTAGAATTGTTCTCGACTAGACTATGTAGTTTTGAGCCCAGCCTGTCTGCCAACTTACTACTATTCATGCATCTTGCTGATTACTTATTACTATTCATACTCTTGCTGATTACTACGCTTGCTCAACCTACATTTCTGTAATACTTGGAGCTCAAGACCCTCCCTAGCAAAATGTGTTGGGCGGGGTTTGCCAGTATACCCGCCACCCAAACTTCCGGTTTGCTTTTACGAATAATATAAAGATCTCCATAGAGTCAATACAAAATTTCGAATAAACGAATATCGAATAAATTCGACATCTAAAAATTCTCGAATGAATGAGTCTCGAATAAGATCGAAAAATCAAAGATATCTAATGAATGAATATCGACTATTTTCGAACATTGGAAGTCTAATTTCGAATAATATTCGAATGATTTATCGAATAATTAGAGGAAAATTAGAGGAATCATATCACATTGCTGACATATCCGGCTAAAGTCGATTCATTCATGATCAGCACCCTTATATCCCCTAAACCAATTCCTAGCTCAAAATTTTCCAACGATAAAATCGATGAAATAAAAATTTATTATATTAAGCACCCTCACTCACTCTCCTGTGCCAACTCCCGCCCATAGCTCAAAATTTTCCAAAAATCTCGATAAAATAAAACAACAGCAAATGAAATTAGCCGGAGCTGAAATTCAAAAATAAGAAGCATTGCAAACCTGGTGTAAGCACCTAAGAGCTGCTCGGATTCACAGCGCTAAGTGTGCGATCTTTTGGAACAATAACGATGGCCACATATGTACTTATATGCCACAAATGCCTGTTCATCGCAGACTTTCGTCTTGTGTGGTGTAAGCTAGTCGTGGACCAAGGCATGTGGTTTATTCCGCGAAGCGAGCACGAATACCCCTATAGCCCCGGGCATACTGCAGGCATTTCAGTGGCGACGTGGTTGGTTTGACAATAGTCGAAATGTCCATAACTTATCGTGCGGTTTCTAAAAGTACAGAATGCAGGGCATTTATCTATTTTAGTAAATTGTACAGGCTATCCATTTGTGGTAAGCTGGTGTTACATTTGAATACATCTCGCCACTAGCAAATCGTCTAAGCTGTCGCGTGAAGTATGTTGTAATAATGCTCGCATTTCCCAATGTGGACCTTCTTCATCCACCTTTAGCCTTTGCCATAGTTAGTAGGCTGATAGCTCCCGTTAAAGTGCCTGCAAGCCTCCGTGAAAATTTTGGAGTGATAACAGAACTATCCTGTACTATCTACTAAGAAGACTTCATTGCAAGGTGATATAACTGCATTCAACAATCGCCTAACCTAAACTACAGCTGCTATGTCCTTTACTTGATACTCCAGTTCGCAAAAAATCTCTATGGTGAGGAATAGAGGCAGTTGTGCAATATGACTTTTGCAAGCAAAAGTGCTCACTGGTGTGGGCCTTTCCGACCACATGAGCAATGCAAAGTAAGAAAAATAGGCATGTCAACACATTTCGTACATGAACTCGGAACATGAGCTTGATGATAGCTTCTTTGCTGATTTGGTGCCAATAGCAGTGCGAACAGTCTCATTGATCGAAAAAGCATCAATTAAAATCCGCATATGATTTTTTTACTGTCGCAAGCAGACGGAAGAATGCGACTCTCCATACAGCACATAGGTCATAACGGTTGCAAAAGATGCATTACCGAGTTCTGCGAAAAAGAAAATGCGGACGAAGTGAGCTTGATACTCAGCATTTGGCTCTGCAACAAAGTCGAAATATGAAAACGAGTTCATTCGAATACGATTTCGAATTAACATTCGAATAAAACATTTTCAAATAAAATCTATTCGAAACCCCTTTTTTTTAATTATTCGAGTTTTCAAATAAT